GGTTGACGGCCCCACATTCCTGGTTTCGAGCAGGGAAATTACATTGTCTCCTTATTGGCCGGAAGTGAGTCATGTCCGGTTGCTTAGTGGGGGTGGTTGCACGGGACGAAGGAGGTGATGGGGTGGGGTTGGGGATGATGATGATGATTGTGACGAAGGGGGGCGGGTGATGGGGGGTGAGGGGGAAAGGTGGATGGGAGGGGGATGTGGATGGTGAAGGGGAGGAGGAAGATGAGGAGGCAAAGGCTGAGAGGTTGGCCCGGCTCAAGGCGTACTACGAGTATCTCATCCAGCAGTACCCGTACAGCAAGCAGCATGCCGGCAGCGTTAACAGCGTGCTGGACTTCCAAGTCGCACTCTTCAGTGCCGAGATGGAAGCGGCGCATGCTGCGCACAAGAGGGGGCTGGAGAAAGTGCAGCAGGCTGGCAGCTGGGAGGAAGAGGACGGCGATATGGACGTCGACGAGCCGATAGACTACGGGCTCGATGGGCTGGAAGAAGGGAAACCGGGCGGTGAGCAGTCTGAAACCGACCACCACCTTCGAGGATTCAGCCGCCAGGAGTTGAGACTACGCGAGAAGGAAAACGACCTCCGGCTCGAGGCCCTGCGGCGCATGACTGACGTCTCGCAGCGCATGGACACGGTAATGGAGACGATACCTTTCTCGCGAGACCACGAGCTGCTCAGGCTGAGAGCCATGGTGGCCTTGTATACTGGGGACCTGCACATGCGCCCTGCCCCGCGGTCGCCTGCTGAGGATAGACAGGACAAGAGAGCGCGGGCTGGCCAGCGTGACAAAGCGAAACTCCTGTTGCGCCAGATCAAGGCGACTGGAGGAGGGCTAAGAGACCACGACGAGCGGCTTCTCGAGACTCTGGACTCAGATGACGAGGACGACTTAGATGACGAGGACGACTCAGATGACGAGGACGACTCAGAGGCCGAGGACCGGTCGGGTATGCCCATGTTTTCCTTCGATGCACGTTTTGATTAAACCATGTAGGATGTGTGCACAAAGCACCTCTCTGAAATAATAGACAATACAACCAAAAACTATTCTCAAAACCGCGCAGGCCACAAACTAACACACACATACACTCACGGCCATCGCCGTAGCCACCCCCTTCTCTTTCGCCCAGCGCTGATAAATCAGCGCCCTATTCCCATTCCCCACCACCACGCACCACTCCCCCTCCGGGCTCCAGCCCACCTGCCTGCCCACAAACCCGCCGTCGATCTGCAGCGTCCGATGGGCCTTGATATAGCCGACGGGATTCGACAAATCATACATCTCGGCCCAAGCCTGCAGCGTCTCCTTGCTGTAGCCCAGCCCCGTGGCAACGCCCTCCGGGTCCGGGCTCGCCGAGACCATCGATTCCTTGTCCGCTGCGCTGGCGCCACCGCTCATCACGAAAGACCGCAGACTAGGTGTGCCCCCTTCACCCCCCGCGGCCGCGTGAGCCGCGGCGTTGGCGGCAGCCGTCTTCTTCCCGCGTTTGACCATCAGCCACGCGGGTTTCTGGACGGCGGGGGCCTTCTGCGCTCTCCGGGGACTGGCAACAGCGGCTTGCTCGGCCTTTTGGGCGTCGCGTAGGTCGGCCATGTAGCGGGCGTATGAGCCAAAGCGAGCAAAATCCCAGAAGAACGTGCGGGAGCGGTCGTTGGCGAAGGCCAGAATGGGGTGGCGGCCGGGGGGCGTGGAAGATGCGGAAGCGCATGAAGAACTGGACGCCGCAGTCCGGCGTGTGGAACTGGGCGAGGCGCGTAAACATAGCGCGGCGGTCTTGCGAGAGTGTCGGCGTGAAGTAGGACCGCGTCTGCTTAGCTACGTCGGTCGGTGTCGGCGCGTCCAGTGGGCCCGGGATGGGGTCCGTTGAGGAGAAGCCCTCGATCTGCCAGAGCACGATCGAGTCCTCGTGGCAGGCCCGTGAGAGGATTAAGTCGCCGTGGAAGGCGACGCTGTTGTGGGAGGTTTAGAATCAGGAAGGGTGAAATCGGAGGGCCGTTGGAGGGAGTGGTGGAGTAACAAGCTTACCAGTCGACGAGGTTGTGGTGGATTTCGGAAGAGGAAAAATGCGGGTATTGGAACACAAAAGGGACGTCCAGGTGCTCGGCCGGGAATTCCGGAAGCGCCCACTGCCGGCGGTCAGTTCGAGGCTTGATGGAGGGTGGTCCGGTATATGGTCTTACCAGATTGATGACTTGGTCATGTCCGGTCGACAGGAGATAGCGTCCGTTATCATGGAAAGCCTGGGAACGGTTAAACGCCAGTACAGAGTGCTCTTCCCCGGGACACGTACCACGATGAGCAGGTCGTATGAGTGACTCTCACCGCCAAGGATGCAGACGCAGGGCTGTTTCTCCTGGGATGCTGCGAGACTCCATATCCTGATGGTTGTGTCATCGGATGCCGAGGCGACAATGAGCGGGTCAGCTGGCGAGGTTGCGAGATCGTTGATGCCTTATGTCGGTAAGGCTGAGTCCCCAATCTTCAGGTTTGAGAGGTCTCATCGACTTACGCCTCCGTGACCGACTAGGGTCTGCCCATGGTTAGCTGCCTCTGTTTGGGTGTTGGGCCTTTGGACCGCGGACTCACCTTGACTAATTTCCCCTGCTTCACATTGTAGATTTTGATGTTGGAGTTGGTGCCGGCAATACAGAGCAACGGTTCCTCAGTCACGGGATCACTTGACCAGCAGCTCGCGCAATTTGCGTCATCCTAATCCAATGAGACAATATGATCATCATGTGCGCGGCAAAGGAGGTTAGAACTCACACCGTCGTCCCTGATAAGTTGTATGATCTCGCAAGGTTGGGTGTCCTTATCTGTTTGTGCCAAGCGGCACACAACGGCCTTTCCAACACCTGATTAATTCTGTACCGAGGTTCCCCTAGAATTGTGCCATCTTACATGTTTCTTGCTAGTCACAGCAAAAACAGGAGGGGCGCCGGGCGGGTTGTATGGGTAGAACTTGACATCAAAGAACTCGGCCAGGTCTGGGTTAGGTCAGCTACGGCGCGGCTGCCAGTGGCAAACAGCCCAGCGAACACATACCTTGACTTGCTGCTTGGTCATTTGCGGAGAGGTATTTATAGTCGTCCTGCCAACACCGTCAGCATTGTGAAGTCTGGCAGAGAGGGAGCAGGTGCAGGGTTCAGAGGTGGTAGATACCTGGAAGAGGAAGGATGCTCGCAGCCTGGGGAGTTCCCATTCGGCTGACTCAGGTGAAGGCATCCCCGACAGATGACAATTTGACAGTTTTCACTCCCAGTGAAATGCAGAAGGGCGTTTCGGCCCGGGTCTGTTGGTGTGGGGCCGGAGGGAGTCTTCGGTGGAGGGTGCGTCTTGGGGTGGTGTGCTTGATCATGGGTTGGGTGACCAGCCAACGCGCGCCGGAAACTGTGTAAAAAAAGGGGTTGGTTAGGATAATCTATTAGTTTGCAGTTCGGATAAAATCTAAGTTAAGCTCGTAGTTGTGATGTTTCAGTTTGATGAGTTTGACTCCCTCTGGGTTTGTTGGAGAGTTCGTTCCTTCTGCCATAGTTAATAATTAAAGTGGGCCACCAAGCTCAATTAAAGATGCGCGTCACGCGACGCGACTTGGACTCGACTTTGGACAAGGACCCAGTCAACTTCATCCGATAGTTTTCTTTTTCACGTCCATTCACCGCTTCTTTAGAACACGGAATGATCCAAAGTCTCGAAATACACGGGAGAGGGAGAAAAAGAGAGGCGAGGGGAACACCGCCGCTGAGTTTAGTGGACTAATGCTCCGACTACCTACACGAGGGTTGATCTTGCGTAACTAGTAGCTGTGCATTAAGAATTCAAATGGGGTGATGCTAGAGAATAACCATATATATTCATTCCACAAATGTTCAATGGCATTTCGTGTAGTCACTGAGGCCGAGCATTGCAATCGCAAACTGTGTCCGGATGTGAAATACCGTAGAGGTGAGACGCCTCGTGAGGTTGTCTATGGTAAGGGTAGTGTAACTGTAACATATACAATGTTGACTAGTTAGCAGGATGCTTTGAATGACATAATGAAGGACCTAGTTCCCTATTAATTATCTATTGGTTTCGTCAGAACCTCAGGGCCAGTCGAGATTATGATCCTTGCTATTGCTGTGACTGCCATAAGTGTCTTGAATGTTGACTACCTAAGCTGCCGGGCATGAGTACTGCGACACTGGTCGTTTAAAGGTAGTGCTTTCTTGAACGGCTCTATTTGTTCTTATTGAAGTATTCAGTCAATCCTTTCTTCACACTGGCTCCGGTTAGTGTTGCTAGTTTGGTGCGGGTAACCGCAGAGGTCTCTTGACCCCTCGTCTGGTTAGACATGTGCTTCCTCACAACTTTTGATTTCGTACACGTTGACCGCTTGATATTGGTAACTTTACTACCTTATGGCAACTGTGGCCTAGTTCAAGCACAACAAGCGCATCGTAGCCAACGAGTTGTTGAGTCTGAACTCTTCAAGCCCTTTCCGTCGTGCAGGCTGACCGTTTCGCAAGGCCTTATGTCGAGCTTTGAGCTCGTTAGTTATCCCGGTTCAGATTTGTGTTGTTGTAGGATGCTGCAACACCTGGCAGAGAGTGGATAAAGAGGCCGCGGCCGGCATCAATCCCATCTCGACTCTTGACTTTCCCGAATGCTCAAGAGCAAGGAAGTCTTGCAAATGTAGACGCAACCCCAGATCCTCAAATCCGAGAATTTCGGAGTTGCGGCCTCGCGTGCAGTTTCGCGTCGCTGGCATTCCCCTGAGAGGTTCTCGGGTGCTTTGGTTTTCTGGCTTGGCTGAACGTCACATGCGGCGATGACGAGGGAGGATTTCGCCTCGGCGAAGGGATAGTCGAGATTTGCCCGTGGTGCCCCGACCGGGAAGTCGTGATTCCATGATGCTAATGATTTCCCATCATTCCAGCCGTGTCCGAACCCCTGGGGAGGGAGGAGCACCGGCGAATCGGGATGGAAGCGTGCATCAAGTGCATGGAAGGGAACTGACGGAAAGCAAGAGTGCAAATCTCGACGTGTTGACTAATCCGCAAATCCTTCCAATGGTGGCACCGAAAAGCTGCTCAGGCGGAGACAGTCGCAATCTCAGAATCTCTGGAAAATCTTCGGGGGCTCCACATGCCATCCGCCAAGAAGGACCCGTAACCCCACGCCAAGGAGCTTTCGAGAATTTGAGTTGTTGTTTTCTGAGACAGCGAGAGAACAGAGGGCGGAGGAGCATCGAACAAAAAACATCATGGGATCCATAAAACGCCGTTTTTACTTTTTTTTTTATCCCATCTCCCACGAGGAAATCTCGCCGCGACTAGTAAGGGTCTCCGCATCTCAGGCAGATGCTAGTTGAAGCCACAAACCGGCTGGGCCGAGTGGCGTCCGCGGTTCATCCGTTCCCGTCGCTTGGGTTGCGACAGTGGGGCAGTGATCCTCGCTGGGGGGTTGCAGCCATCCCGGCCCTGACGATCATGCAGACGGGCGCGGAATTGGGAATTTCGATGGTGACGACCGACGAGGGGCCTTTGGGATCGGGCAGCGAAAAGCTCACAGGGCACGTGCGGGGGGATGGATGTGTATGTACATCAAACACTGTGTGCGATTCCCAAGTGTGAGGATGAGCACAAGGGAACCCCATCGGTTTTCTGTTCGTCCAAACTGCCAGACTATCAGAGGGCCAGTCTTGCCAGGCTCTGTCTCACAAGAGGGCAAAGATCGGTTGCTAAGGCCGCGCAACCACTGAACATGGTAGCTACCCACGTACTGTCTCTGCAAGGAATAGGCCAGTGAAGGACATGTGATATTTATTGATTTGGTTGGTGCTGTTTCAGATTGCAAGTATGTGCGTCCATCTCTTAGTCCATGAGATTGGGGCGAGCCTCTCTGGCAGCCCTTTGCTTTTCATGCATTGCGACGTCCTGGCTATGAGCCGACAGGACAAGTTGTCGCTTGGGTCCCGCC